GCACGTGTGTGTGCGTGCCCAAGATCCCGAGAGGAGAATGGAGGAGAAGGGATTGCAGCATGGCCATACCCCCTGGGGGGTGATTTCTCGCTTTCTATCTCTCTGTCTCTCTCTGTCTGTCTGGCGAGTGCACACGCCCTATAGCAAAAGAAACCTCTCCAAAAAAATTTTTTTATTTAACTTTATTTATTTTAATTTGACCAGAGAAGGACCGAGTGAGAAAAAGAGAGAGGGAACATGAGAAAGCAAGCCGCCAGGCCACCAGGTCCAGAACTCAAATTGTGATCAGCCATGTAGGAGCCCAGTGCCCTTAACCACCACACCACCTGCCGGTCCCTCTAGAGACTCTTGAGCTGCTGTTGAAAGGCAAGAGGAAGGAAAGGGGCCATCCCTGTAGTATAGCAGTTAAGTGCTAAGCAGAAGCAGAATCCCACATGGCCAATCAGGATTTGAGTCCCACACATACAACTTTAAAAATATGCTTGGTGGGACCAGGAGATGGCATAATGGTTGTGTTGCTGGACTCCCATGTAGTCGACCACGGTTTAAGTCCCAGACCCAGCCGCTTAAGACTCAACATAAGGCTCATGTGCATGCATGCCCAGGATCCCAAGAGGAGAAGAGATTGTGGCGTGGCTATCCCTCTTGGGAGGGGGGTGATTTCTCGCTTTCTGTCTCCCACCAGCATAAGTGCCCTGCCCTATAGAAAAAAATCTCTCAACAAAAAAAAAAAAGAGAGAGAGAGAAAAGAAAAGAAAATCATGCTCTGCGTGTGTGTGTGTGTGTGTGTGTGTGTGTGTGTGTATGTGTGTGTGTGCGCGCCATAAATCTCAAGAAGACAGTGGAGGTGAAGGGATTGTGACATGTCCATCTACCCAAGAGGTGATTGGTGATTTCTCACCACCATCATCCCCCACCTCTTTCTGGCAAGTGCATGTACCCGATGACAAAAACTGAAAAGAGAAAAAGGGAGGTTTCTATTCACAAATGAGATATGTGAGTTCCAACTTCCAAAGGAGTCAGTTCATTCCTGTCATTGCCCCCCTCCCCCCGACACACATGCATTTTAGCTCCACAACTTTGGCTTAGAGGTTAAAAAGCTGTCAGTCTTGGGTAGAATTTCTCTGGTTGCTCCAAGCATCTATATTCTCTGATTTTTTTTTTTTTTTTTTTGAGAGGTTTTTGCTATAGGGCACGTGCGCTCACCAGACAGACAGAGACAGAAAGCAAGAAATCACCCCCCAGGGGGGATGACCATGCCGCAATCCTTTCTCCTCCGTTCTCCTCTTGGGAGCTTGGGCATGCAAGCACACGTGCCCGGCATGAGTTTAAGCCACCGGGTCCGGGACGCGAACTGCGGTCGACTACGTGGGAGTCCAGCGACATAGCCATTACGCTAACTGCTGGTCCCAAGGCATCTATATTCTCCAAAAGGTTATTGTTAGAGAATCCTAAAGCCTTCTTGTTTAATGACCTGAGATACAAAATCAGTGAGAGAAGTCAGAGCTGTAGCCACAATTGTTTCTAAATCATTCCCAACTGCGATGTTATTCATGTAATAGCTGGTATTTGAGGTAGATCTAGGCCACTGGTATAAATTCCTGACAAGTCAGAACATGGCATGATGCTTGAGAATTGACATGCTTACCCCTCTAGCAGGATAATAAAGGTCAATTGCTATCCCTGCCAAGTAGGTTTGTTGTTTATAGACAAAACATACAGGTACAGAAAAAGGAGTTGCCCAGATCAATAGCCATGTGCCCAGTAAGGAATGACTGAAAAACCTTCCAGTAACCATGACATGGAATACAGTTACCACAGAATGATTTATCACCCCTAATTAATTCCAGAGTTCATCTGTGTTTTTGTTTGTTTGTTTGCTTTGGAGAGACTCATTCTATAGGGCTCGTGCACTTGTGGAGAGACAGAGAAAGACAGAAAGTGAGAAATCGCCCCTCTGGGGAGATGGCCATGCCACAATCCCTTCTCCTCCATTCTTCTCTTGAGATTTTGAGCACACAGGCATGTATACCTGGCTTGAGTTTTAAGCCACCAGGTCAGGTAGTTGAACTGCAGTCAACTACATAAGAGTCTAGCGACGTAACCATTATGCCATCTGGTGGTCCTTGTGTGTGTGTGTGTGTGTGTGTGTGTGTTTAGAATTATTTTATTTAACTTTATTTGTTTTAATTTGACCAGAGAGGGACAGAGTAAGAAAAAGAGAGAAAGAGTTTTTCTATAAGGCGTTTGTAATTGCCAGAGACACAGAAAGACAGAGAGAAAGTAAGAAATCACCCCCCAGAGAGGGTGGCCACACCATAGTCCCTTCTCTTTCATTCTCCTCTTGGGATTTTGTGCATACATGCCCACATGCCCAGCGTGAATTTCAAGCCACCAGGTCTGAGACTCAAATCTCGGTCAACTGTGTGGGAGTCCAGTGCTTTAACCACTACACTACCTGCTGGCCCTGTTTTTGTTTTTGTTTTTATTTTGTCTTTTTTTTTTTTTTTGGAGAGATTTTCACTGTAGGGCGCGTGCGCTCGCCAGACAGACAGTGACATAGAGACAGAAAGCGAGAAATCACCCCCCAGGGGGGATGGTCACGCCGCAATCCCTTCTCCATTCTCCTCTCGGGATCTTGGGCACGCACGCACACGCGCCTGGCGTGAGTTTTAAGCCACCGGGTCCGAGACACGAACCGCGGTCGACTACGTGGGAGTCCAGCGACACAGCCATTATGCTAACTGCTGGTTCCCTCGTTTTTAGTTTGTGATAGGACACATGCACTCACTAGAGACAGAAACCGGGTGCGGGTGGTGAGAAATCACCCCCAGGGGGGATGGCCATGCCGCAATCCCTTCTCCATTCTCCTCTCAGGATTTTGGGCACACATGCGCCCAGCTCGAGTTTTAAGCCACCAGGGGTCTTGAACTCGAACTGTGTAGTTGGCCATGTGGGCTCTAGCTGCCTTAACCTTCATGCCAACTGCTAGCTCACTAATTCATCTCTTTTTAAGATTGGCCGAATTGTTGTTAAGGCAGACAGTGACGTGCAAACCCCCACCCCCGGTTCTCCAGTCATAATTGGGTTGTACATACTGCTCTTATAATTTCAGGCTTGTCAGTAATTTTTTTGTTTTTAATTTGCAAGAGGGTATATGTCTTAGCCAGAGAGAGGGAGAAGGCACCTTCCATGGGGCATAGTCATGCTACCATCCTCCATTTCTCCTTCCTTTTGGGATTTTGGGGGCTCACAAATGTGCCTGGCATAGTTTCCAAGCCACCGGGTTCAAGACTCAAACTACACAGTCAGCCACATAGGATCCAGCTCTCTTACCCATCACACCATGGGCTGGCCTCATCAGGTTGGCTAGTATTTTAATTTTACAGCGGGGGATACTTCCCAACTCAGCATGTCTGGTGGTCAGTCTCCTATGCTATATGTGCTTCACCAGTCAAAAGACTTCCTCCTTTCTCCAAATTACAATAAACCAGTCTTCCAGATGTCCTCAAGAAAGGCCGAAAGCTCCCCAGGGAATGGCACTGCTCTGTTAGCATGAGGATGATTTAGAAGCTGTGGCCACATCAGAGATCCCGTCTCCATCTCCATGTTCCATGATACTACAATAAATCCTTCATGGGCCCAGCAGGTGGCATGTTGGTCAAGGTCTTAGATGCCCACATGGCCATTTGCAGGTCGAGTCCTGGACCCAGTGGCTTGAACTTCATTCACTCCAGGTGCATGTGTGTGCTTGCCCAAGACCCCAAGAAGAGAATGAAGTAGAAGGGATTACGGCATGACCATCCCCCCTGGAAGGTGATTTCCTATGTTCTGTCTCTCTCTGTGTTTCTGGCAAGTGCATACACCCTTCAGCT